GGCTGCCCTCGTGCGGCCCGGGGCCCGGCCACCTGGTCCCCGCTCGCATGACCGTGCGCGGCCCCGACGGCTCCCCCGCCTTCTCCATCTACGGCCGCCCGCGCCACGCCGCGCCGTTCCTCACTCCGGGACCCGGTGAGGTGCTGGTGCCCTGGCCAGAGGCCTCCAGGGCGACGCCCCTGCCCCGGGGAGACCCCAGCGGCCCCCGAGGGCCTTTCCACCCTAAATGCGGCGCCACCTCACCCGGGCCGCCGAGCCGGTGGGGCCTGGGACACGCCTACCCCGCCCCCCTCCCCAGGCAGGTACTTCCCGGAGCGAGCGGGTCACGTGGCGTACCCCAGCGCGCCGCGGCACACCATAGCTCCCCGAAACTGGGGCGTCCACGGGGAGCAGCAGAGCCCAGGTGAGGCTGAAGCACCCCCAGCGTCTTGGCGCTTCCCCCGCGCAAACGGGGACCGGCTCCCGGGGCGCGGAGGCCCCGCCCGCAGAGACCCCCGCTGCCCCGCCCAGGCCCGGCGTCCTACTCGGTGCCCTCGCTCCTGGGCCCCCGCGTCGTCGGTAAAGTCTCGGCCCCGACGTACTCCATCTGCGGCCGCCGCTCAGTGGGCAGCTTCCTCGAGGACCTGAGCAAGGTGGGGCGGTGGCTCCGGGCTCCGCGCCAGGGGCGGCGGCAGCTGGAAGTGGACAGGGGACCCAGCGGCCCTTCTCCCTCCCGCAGACCCCGGGCCCCTGCGCCTACCACGTGGTGAACCCCGGGACCTACAAGTCTCGAGCCCCGCAGTTCACGATGCTGGCGCGGACTTCGCTTCCCCAGGACAACACCCAGAAGCCGGGGCCCGCGGCCTACAACGTGGACCAGGTGGCCTGCGGGCGCCGGGCGGGGGGCCCGGGGGGGCGCGGGGGCGCGGGCCGCGGGTCACGAGTCTCCCGTCCGCAGCACCGGAAGCCTCGCGGCTGGACCTTCGGGATCAGGCACTCGGACTACCTGGCCCCCATGTTGACCGACGCGGACAACTGACCCGCGGGGCGGGCGCGGCCGCACACTTGTTTGCTTAATTTAAGCCTGGAGCCAGCCAGCGTCCGGC